CTTAAAAAACAAACAAACTCCCAACTTTAAATTCCAATCCAAAAGTGGGCATCTGAAATGAACAGACACTTCTCAGACAAAGAAGTAGAAATAGTAAATAAACATAAGAAAAAATGTTCACCATCACTGGTCATTTGACAGATGCAAATGAAAATAACACTGTGATTCCACCTCTTGCCAGAAAGAATGGCTACTATCATGAAATCAACCAGTAACAAGTGCCTGCGGAGTTGTGGGAAAAGAAGAATCCACTCTACTGCTGGTGGGAGTGTAAACTTCTGCAACCACTCTGTAAATCAGTATGAAGATATCTCAAAGAACCAGGATTGGATGCCCCATTTGACCCAGCTATTTCACTGCTTCCCAAAAAGAATAATACCGCAGTGATATATGCACACCCATGTTTATAGCAGCACAATTTGTGATAGCTAAAACTTGGAAACAGCCCAATTTCCCATCAACTGGAGCCTGGATAAAGAAGATGTGGTTTTTCTATAAAATGGAGTACTATTCAGCCATAAAGAATGAGAAACTAGAGAGATTTATAGCTAAATGGATGCACACTGAGGCCATCTCTTAAATGAAATATATAGGACACGTGTATAAATACAGAAGAGAAACTGAAAGTGTAAATGAGGATCAAAATGCATAATAATGTGAAATAGGAAAAGATAAAAAGGTGAAGGGGAAGTGGGATGGGTACGGGAATGGAAAGAAAAAAATGAGAAAAAGAAAAAACATAAAGTCTTTATTAATGGGAGGGGTGCAGGGTTGAAGGGAGGATGGGGAATAGATACAAAACTGAGAATCAAAGTATATCATGTATAGGTAAACTTCCCAAGATGAATGTTATCATATTATATACCTAAAATGTACCCATAAACTTAATGAATTAAAAACAGATATAGATAAAAAGATACCTAACGGGCAGGGTAAGGGGGGAAAAATGAGAATCAAGACTTGTCATGTTAGAGGTACAAGATCCCAACAATGTATGTAACTGTACTGTATCCCTAAAATGTACCAAAAAACACAATTAAAGCTGGAAAAAGAAAAAGATACCAAATGGTTAAAAACTACATTATTTCTTCATATAGTCAAACAAACGGTAAAGCTGTCCACTTTTACCCTTCTACTTTTGCTACTGCACTAGAAGTACAGCCAGAGAAGAAAAATAAAAGCCATCAAAATTTAAAGAGAAGACACAATGTGTTTATGCTTAGAAAACATGCCAATGAAGCAACTTCCAGGTGAGCAACAGAGAATGGCAGCTCAGGAGTTTTCTGAAGAGGAAGGGGAGCATCTATAGTCAGTGCCGCAAAGTCCTTCTGAAACAAAGGAAATCCTGAAAACATGGACAGAGCTACAAACATTTGTAGAGAAGACACATCCAGACAGAGGAAAAGCCAATTTTTGTATTCACTTGCTAATGACAATGTCATGTCATACAGTGTTAAAGACAAGATAGAAACTGCCAACCTTAGACCAGTTTGTATGTATGTATGTATGTATGTATTTATTTTTGGTACCAGGGATCAAACTCAGGAACTTGAGCTTGTGCAGCAGCTGATGGAACCAGTGAGCTGAATCCCCAGTTTTTAGTTCTGAAAAGGTTGAGACTTGTGAGCCAGAGCAGGTTTTAGCAGGTTACAGATTCTTCCAAGGAAAGAAAGGACAAGAGAGACAGATTCCTGATGTTCTCATGGAAGGGGATGCTCCTTTCAAACAATAACCACCTTCTATTTCATCCTCCCTTCCTGCAAGCCAAACATGTCAACCTGAATGTTGAGTATAGTATAAAATCATTGTTTCTGGTAAACTAGGCATATTTTATAACTTTTTGATGAATATGCTAGGAAAATTATTGGCGTTTCTGGTAAATTACACATGTTATACAACCCTTTTTTACTATGAAAAGATTTGTTAAGAGGTACTTTGGGAGGTTCAGATTGTATTATGGGTATTTCTGGTATTTCTGATGGGAAAAATAGTCTTACAACCAACTTGAGTTACAACCAGGTCTCATGAACAAATTGAGTTCTTAAGTCAAGGTTCTACTCTAGCTCTCCAACTCCAAAGCATGTGTTTCTCCATTAAATTCTTAATCTTGAGAGACAAACAAGACAAAAGGTTGAACCAAATGATTCCTAAGTGCTGCTTATTACATCTGTACTCTTTTCAAAAGCATCTTTTTGTTGCTGGTATTAAATAATATTGACTTACTTCAAGTTTCAACTGATATTTCAAGAGCTATGACTAGAACAGTGACTACAGATCCCCACTTGTAGCATTTCCACAACTTCAGCTACTCAGAGTAGTCCCCATCTTCATCAGGCTGAGATTCTAGTATCTCACAGTTATGTAAGTGCCCTAATATAATCTTGAGTGCTCTTCAAGTATTTCTAGTTGATGAACAGGGCATTGTATTTCTATTTATTTAGGTAATTTTTAATTTCTTTCAACAATACTTTTAGTTTTCAATGTACAACTTTTTCACTACTTGGCTTAAATTTATTCCTATGTATTTTATTCTTTAAAAGATTGTACATGAAATTACTTTTTAACCTCATTTCAATTCTTCATAGCTCATGTGTAGAAATGTAATTTGATTTTTAATTTATTTTTGACCACAACTTCTCTGAATCCATTTAATAAATCTGCTTTTGTTAATTATGACAAGGGATTATAAGAAAACAATCAATCACCCAGGAAAAACATAGTTTACAAGCATCAAACCACTGGAAGCAGAAAAGTCTAGAAATTTGGGGACTGGCACAATCACTTCCCACCCTTAATTTAGGAGGAAAACACTGAAGATCCATTTTAGCAACAAAGACCAACTGCCTCCAACTTTGCAGACAGCATTAAATCAAGTCTGTGCTAATCAGAACACTGTTAGAAGTTGAGCAGAATAAAGTTTCTCCAAGCAAAAATCTCAATAAAGCAACAACTCCTAGCATACACTTGCACTTCAATGAAATATTTTAGGGAAAAGAGACCATAGGGAATTCTTCCAACAAGGTTAATAAAATGAAGTTATCTTCAATCAAATAGAGGTACAGACAGACATATAAGCATAAAGTAGAAAGCACAAACTATGTTAAATTTAGGAAGCAGTTCTCTCAAACTGTGGGTATGCCTGAAATAAACAGAGCTGATGACAATAAAATAGATAAAAAGCCACAAAGAACCATTTTCCTTAAGTGCTACCAAAAGTAGCCCTTAATTTTCTACAGTAAGAAGGAAGCTGAAAAACTTACTTGTCAATATCCACACTAAATGTAGCAATCAAAACAACTGAAAAATGAAAAACCTAAAAAACTACAAGGAACAATGTAGTAGGGATTTTGTCCCAAAACTCTGAAAAGGAAACCATGACGAATCATGGAACATTCCTTACCTCCAGGGCAAACACTTCTACTACAATTGCTCCATACTAAGGGCACCTATGAGTCTTCAGTTCCTTACTTTTCTATCAGAGTGTTTACAGTAAGTGCACAACCTCTGCTTCATCAGGGTACATTAGATATGTTGGATGTAGACAATAAATTTTAGTTTCTAGTTCTTCAGGTCAAAAGGATCCATATATCTGGACCTGGTAATGTAGAAACTATGTAAGACAGCCCTTTCCTATCAAACAGAGGTCCTGGGCTTTTGAGTTTGAAGTCATGCCAAGACAGAAGTTTCACATTTTATCCTATAATGGCAGGATACATAAACTGGTCTGTGAAGTAGAGACTGCTTACATGGTGACCCAAATAGCAGAACATGGTATATTCGATGTTCAACAAAAACATCCTGCTCTCTTCCTCCAGGTCTCAGAGGCTCTCGTGACCTGGCTGACTAGGATTAGGTGGGACTGTGTGGATACAAAATTGGGACTGGAAATGTCACTTCCCAGCCAGAGTATTTAGTTGCAGATGTGCAATGCAGCAGGACTTACTTTCACTTTTTAACTATAGTGGGCATAATCTGGTCCACGTAGAAAATACACTCTCAGGATAATTTCCAGGATTAGGACATGAATTAGAACCCAAGGATAACCCTCCATATTTATGCAGCAAGAGTAAAACACAAACTGCTGTCCGAAGGCAGGTGGCATCCCCACCCTGTTTTGGTAGTATGTGTTCTATGCTGGTTCAAAGTTCTACATCGTAATTCTGAGATTTATGTTGTTCATTTATAAAGTCATATACTGCACACCTCTACAGCCTGGTATTACTTCAGATTTATAAAAATCCCTTCTCCCAAGTAATTCAGGAAAAAAGCACCGAAAAATATTTACTAGAACTGATCATCTTGAGGATGAGGTAGTATATTTATATATCTCTATTTAAATTCTATACTTGATTATTTACAAAATTGTAGTTACTTTTGCACCACCATTCTTTAAAACACACCATTTAAATAAAGTTGATTATATTTTCATCATCCAAGTTTTTTATCAATGAAAAGTGTTACAAAGGACCTTCTTACATTACATGATTTATACAAGAACACATCCGTAACTCCTTTTCAAGTAGTTAATCATTTAAGCCATTGAAGACATTAGACTAAAAAAGAAAAAAGTGGAAAACTTCAAATAGAGGCTAATGTCTATGTGAAACAATAGGTAACTCAAGTGTATATGCTGTTACTTTATTAATATGTATCCCTTTAAATCTTTGACATAGCATTTAAAAATAAATTTAATAAAAATGTTATCAAAACTTATTTATTAACCCTAGATCACTGAAAGTTATTTAGGTGACTATTATTAGAACCCAGAGTTAGTATAAGAATAATCATTAATTTGAGAAAAGACAATTTATTTTAGGACTTTACTATTATTTTGGGCTTACCATTAAATTCTGAAACCTCGAGTTTAAGTCAACACATCCTTTTCTCCCAAGTACACAAGGGGAGAGTAAATGGCACAAAACCAAACACACAATTACGCAGCTCCCCGGGAGGACAGTCAGAAGAAAAGCACACAACACAGTGGCTGTGCACCTTATTACCTGAGCGTTCAGCAGCTCCTCACACTTCTGTGCTTGCTTCTCAATTGCAGACATGTACTGTTTTTCAATAGCTTCTACTTGTTGCTTCACTGAAGACTGCAGTAGTGCCTAAACACAAGCAAGGAAAGTATTTGGATCACAGACAAAATGTGCAGTCTAGAGTCAGCCTGAGCCTGTTTTTGACAATTGTACATGTCTGAAATATGACGCCTTCTAGAGTAGAGAAATACACGTGTAAACAGTGAAGCATTTTGTATATATGTGTATGTTTATATGTATATAAACATTATGTGTTTTGTGTGTGTGTGTGTGTGTGTGTGTGT